ATACGGGGGAACTTCTACATGTTCTCAGGCGGGAATTAATTGAAATATACATTTTTAAGACGAATTAAAAATAAAATTTAGTGACTTCGTCACAGTTCTTGTCCCATTTCGTGTTTTCGTACATCGCTCTTTCTCCCATACGCTACTAAAAAAGACTTATGACAAATCTCATAATATGCTTTTGACAAACGCTCACTAACGATAGTTTCCTCAAGTAGCCATGGATATTTCTGCTCCTATTCTTTTCGACAAAGACATAATCTTCTAAATGTAAGAAAGTGGAAAAATTAAGTACAATAAGCGTCCTGCAATAGGTTGTTGCAGGACACTGAACAATGTACCCCAAATGGTGGACGTCCACCGAAATGCAGGACGGTTGGCAACCCTAGTAATGACACAGAATTGATTCTGATATCTTGATTCATGGGATAGGAATTTGTCTCCATGGATACAAAAAAAAGTTGTTGATTACAGGGGTTCAAGGGGGGACATCTTGAAAATTTTGATAAAAAATTAGAGTACCTGAAAGAAAAATTAATTAAAACTAGTTAAAAACCGTCATATATCATTCTATTTAAGGTAAAAGTGTTACAAAATGAAGGTAATGTCATTTTGATTATACATTTTAATTGTCAAAAACATTCTATTTGCGGAAATACATACCAATAAAATATATGCCCATGAAAATCAGAGATATGAGATTGATATCCTATTTCATGTTGGTCCAGTGGGAAATTTGAGGCAGTGTCCTGTATTTTTGGACTGGAACATTCTACGAATCAAACAGATTGTTGTGAAATAGACGATTTCCACTCAACAAGTGTAAGTGTAAAACTATTTTAATTAAAATACATACCTGATAAAATAATAGGAACAAAATTGCAACTGAATAACACAACTGTTATACAAAGCTTGTACATATTTCTTTGACATTTTGTAAAAGTTTCAAGTCAGGTTACAAACCTTTTCTTTGTAATAATGAACACTGCAATCATTATGAATCGATTACAGAGTTTAGTTCAAAGAATGTAAATTAGAATTTAGGTTTATAGTTTTCTACCCAAGCAAAGTATTAATTTCATTATTGCCTAATAGGTGTCGTTAGATACATCTATCGATGTATAGTAAATTTTCTTCTTGGGAAGATAATCAAATTGTTTTAAAAACTTTGATCAAGGTTTTCCTTTCTTTCGTTTTATATATAAAAAAATAAAACAATATACCCTAGTAATTTGGTTTGTGAAAAGTTTATTTGTGTTCTCTGTTTGATATTTACATAATGTTAATAAAGTATTATTATTATTATAACATGTATTATTGTCAATATTTTAAATTGAATGATATATAAGGAGGCGCTATAGACAATCACAATACAGGTAACATAAAATATTAAATTTTTTTTTAAATATATAACAATAGAACCCATTCCCTGAGAGCAGAGTCGAATCTACAATTACAGAAAATAATATATACAAGGTGTGATTAAAAAGGTAAGCATTAAAAAGAAATATTATAAATACATAAATAAATATTATTTAGTATATATTTTCAACACGTTAGCTGCCAAATCAAAGTTAGCATACAAAGTTGAATATTATATCAGTATATATCATGAATCACACATATAATTTTTATCCCGAAAATCCCTCATGAATGGAAAAGCTAGATTAACGGGAATGAAATCGCGGGGTGTGAATTTGTAAAAAATACTAATGAGATTTATGTAATTGTGATTTTCCACTGACAATAGTTTGTAATTGTGGGCCAGTTTTACTTGTACCAATTATTTAGAGATTTAAGATGTACATCAATTAAGGTAAATCTGTAAACATCATTTGTGTACTTCATTTTAAAGAATATTTTCTCACACAAGTAATAGTAATAATAATAATTTTTATTCGCACACAAATAATTACAAGTAGATGCGAATTATACTTAGTAAAAACAATTCAATGCATAAGGTTTGTATATAAATTAAGGTGGGTCGAAACAGGCCTATTTTTTTATTTTTTATATTTTTTATAAACGCGCTACTCTGGAAAAGTTGTCTTATGATGTCTTGAGGTATTCTTAAAAAAATTGGAGTTTTTTAACAAATTTTAGTCCAATTTTCTTTTTTTTTTAATTTTGTGGCGCTACTTAAAAAAAGGTTTATTTAAGGGCTTTTCAGTACTATAAAAAAAGCTGGACTAAAATATATCATTTTTAACCAGTCCCACGGGCATGGGCGTCGTTACTCAATTCTATAGGGGGGGGGGGGGCAAAATGTAGAAAAAAATTAGTATATTTATTTATTGGAAAACAAAAAAAAAGAAACATAAAAGAGAATTTTCTTATGATGAATTTAATTATTCTGTGACGTTATGGCTTACTTCCGGTTTTTCCAGAAATAACAGAAAATCGCAATTTATTTTTTATTATTAAATGAAAACCCTTTTTCTTATTGAAAATTTGAATTTGTGGGACATGTTTGTTTAAGAAGCGTGTATTGAAAATTTTCTTAGTAACATATTAAAAAAAATATGTTCCAATATGATGATCATTTTGACAGCTGACAAAAAATTTTCAATACATGATTCTTATCCATAAATGTCCCTAAAATTCAAATGTTCAATAAAAACGGGGGTTTCTATTTAAAAATTAAAAATAAATTAAGATTTTGTTATTTCCGATAAAACAGAAGTAAGGCATGAAGTCACACACCAATTGAATCCAGTATATGAGATTATTTGTCCCAAGCTTTTAAACAAATAAGTTTTCATTCCAATATCTCAATTAACAACGAAGATAAAAGCGGATAGAATTATTAATCGGTTGGCTAATAATAAAAATGCTTAGATACGCCACTGGTATACGGTAAATGGGTCTCAATGGGAATTTTGAAGCCTAAAAAGATTTTATGAAGTATGTACATTCCTATATGTTTTTCCATAAACGAATTAAAAGTAACATATTTAGAAAAAAATATCCAATATGGCATCCATTTTGACAGTTGACAGAAAATTGTCAATACACGATTATTATACAAAAATGTCCCAGAAATTTAAATTTACAATAAAAAAGAGGGTTTCCTTTTAAAAATAAAAGAAAATCTGTTATTTTCGGAAAAATCGGAAGTAAGCCATGACGTCACAGAACAATTGAATCCATCATAAGAGAGTCTTTCAAACAGAACAAAATTAATCCGATATCTCACTCAATAGCGAAGCTAAGGGGGAGTGAAACTGTAGTAGTAACCCTGACAATGTCACCGACCTATTTGACAGAACTGATACTTAAGTTGTCATAACAAGTCTCTAATAAATAAAATAACCCAACAAAAAAAGACAAAATAAAAGTATATAGATTTATAAAACAAGTGAAAAAATTATTAATAATACTATTATTATATGTTTTTATTACGTCAGCTAAAAAAAGTAGTATAATCAATACAAATCAATAATAAAACATAGGTAGGTATTTACGAGAAAATGTATGAGATCTTGCCTAAGCCTAATAAGTTGTCATTGAAGAATAGGTTAAATAATGTCAAAATAAAAACACTACTATTATATAATAACGTAGAATTAAAACGTATTAACAAAAATAATTGGTATATTTGCAATTTTAATTTATATTTTCTTCATTTTTAGTTCGAAAGAACCCATAGAAATTAATGATTAAAACTGGTTTCCTATCAATAAGTCACAAGATTGCATTTCAGCCATATACAATAATTAAAGGCAGAAATCTAATCATTTGCTAAACATTTAAGACTTAAGAGATGTTAAAGAATATCATAAAATAATAATTTATTGTTTATTTAAAACCTTTTCTGATGTCTATTATTTCCAGTATTACTGTTATTATTACAAAAATAAAGGCTTTTTCTTCTTATTATACAGCTATCTATACATTTTTTGATTTAATTTCTATTTTGCTACTGAAAATTGTAACATAGCAACTCCGGTTGCTCATTTTATTGTTTTTAACCTATTTTTTAGTAAAAATTAAAATGTATACGTGTATTTGATACGCCAAAATTACAAAATATCGCCCTAAAGTACTCGAATTATCCGCAGCTTGCGCTAGTATCGCTTTTGCTTTCCCTACCATGACTTCGCACTGTTCGAATAGATTGCAGCCATGTTTTAACATGCCTTAGCTAAACGTTCTTTCGATTAACTCTGTCGTTGGTGGAAGAGCCATAAATATTTTTTAAACCACTTTGTATGGATAAAATTCACAATGTTTGGATGCTATATCATTAATGGAGAGATCATTGTGTGTAGAAAGCTCTTTCGTACTCCAGTTTGGTATTCAGCTTCAAAATTGTCGATTTCAAATTATTCCACTACTTTTATTTTCTAGGTAGTGAAAAAAGTATTGTTTTTATGCTTTTGGGATGTAACAGGCTTAAGGACAAACTAACAGAGTCTTCGGAAAAGCGTGATGTAAGCGACGTTTTAAGGGAATCCAGATATGCAATAAATATATTCAACCTATAATATTCTTCAACTATATAAGCCTGAATATTAATATTTCTATATGAGATTGTTGTTCGTAAGGCATATCTTACGCGTTGTTGATTAAATCGCTAAAAGCCAGGGGGGGGGGGGCAACTGCCCCCCCTTGCCCCCCCAAACGACGCCCATGCCCACGGGCCCTACCGCAGGCGGACATTAACAGAAATATATTATTCTTTAACTTTTGTGCAACTTTTCGCTTGACTTAGTGATTTATAATCGCTAAATCAACCCAGAACTCACCACGTGGAGGTATTTGCACCTAGAGTTCCTCCTCCCATTTGGGGACCCTCCCATCCTTTTTTTATAGCAATTTATATTTCATTTCGCTTTTCAAAATATTGCGATTTGTTATGAAATGCTGTTAAAATTTTTCGCCCCTCTAATTTTAATCTAATATATCCATCCCTGGATGACTCACCGCAAACCTTAGTAGAAGCTTCAGTTACTAATTTTACACAGCGTTCCATTGCTTGTATGTGACATGGAAATTTTTCAAAATTTAAGGCTTCTTTTCACAATATTATTTAACGTTTCATTTATTATATTAAATGTTAATGGCGGTTCGGTGATCCTAGTTTTCTGCCAATCTATCAAGTCTATGTAATCGTCAGCATCTAAATTTAAAAAAAGTACCCTAAAAACTCTGATCATTTTATTAGTTTGCATCCTACATTTTTTAATTCTTGCAGCTAATTCTCTAATGTATGGACGTGTGTCGCTTAGCATTGCCAAAAGTAGGTTCTTGGGATGGGCAAAATATGCATTGTCGGCAAAGACTTTGTTAGTTATATGTTTAACGTTATCTGGGAATCCTCTTGAAGCATTAATAGCTTTCCACAGGTGTCTCGCTCCATCGTAAATATATGATTTTGTTTTAATTTCAAACCAAACAGGTGCGTAGACCTTTAAAATAAATTCGGTTAAAATAATTTGAGTGAGAGATGAATTTTTAGTAGCGATATATAGGCGTAGCATTCTGTTGGCTGTTGTAAGCCACCGGGCATGTGACATCTTTCCTGGATCTCTCTTTGCCAAATTGGGAGTAATGGTTCCATTTTGAATGCCTATGCAAATCTTATATAGGTACTGTTGATCTGTACTTAAGTCGTCTGGTTCGAGTTGAGGAAGAGATGTCTTTCTTGGTTTAAACTCTACAATTGGCATGTCTTGACAGTGTTTTAAAAGAGCCCCAATTGGTCCCGAAAAGCTGTAAGGTCCTTTGGTATCTCCATCTAGACTTTGTAATCAGTGCCTCAAAGGTAGCTCATTGGCATGGAGCAGACAAATGCACCATTGAAGGGGCCTTTTAGTGTGATTTTTAATTAATCGAATGATAACTTCCTTCCATCTTGTATTTACATTTGTACCATCACAATCTATCACGGTTAAATCACTGATATTTGTTGATACTTGTTGTAGCATTGAAGAAGTTCATCCTCTATATTTGCTGCAGTAGCAGAGCCCTTTATAGATACACGGGAAAAGTAAATATTACCAGGTTCTTTAATAATTGTAATGTGTTCTTCTTGTTGGGTTATCTTTTTGCTGTTTTTGATACAAATTGTTTGGTCCTTTCTCCCGTCGAAGTATAGTCCTCTTATGTCTTTGTTTTCTTATTGCTGTTGAAGCTTTTATCGGTTTTTGCTTAGTTCTCGACGTATTTTGCTTTTATTAATTACGTTCGAAATAATGTTAAAATCTTCTAAAACGGCATTAACAATTTTAGCTACTGCCCTGTTAAATGTGCTGGTCAATTCCGCCATTTTTGGTGTTTGAGTTAAGCTGTACCACATTTGCTGAAATTTGGGTGTAACAATTCTTTTTTGTTTCACCAAAACTGGACATTTGTATTCCTCGTCCGTGTCCGAAGAACTTTCAGTGGAAGAATTATTGTAGGTATCTATATCTATTGGAGACAATTTAGTTTTATTTTGAGTACCGCTTGTACTTGGTATTGGCTCTTTCTCTTTAGGTTTTATTTTGAATACCACTTGTACTTGAAAATGGCTCTTTCTCTTCGGCACTACTTTTATGGCCAAGTTTTCTTTCTTCTCTTTTTTGTATTTGTTTGGTTAGAATCTTGTCAACTCCTCCTATTTTCATTTTACGATAAGACCTTTGATCTTGTTAAAAGGACCATTCTGCTTTCGGCACTTTCATTTTCACAAGAGCAACGTTCTAAATCAAGACATTTACAAGTTGATATGTCAAACAGTTTTGTTGAGTTTTTATGGAAATTATCCAAGTTAGCTCGTAAAAAGTTTGAAATTTTTCCTTTTATAGGTTTAATAACAGTTTGGTATTTGAGATTATATGCAAGAATTAGTTTAATTATTCTCTCACGAGATAAACTTGGCAAGGCAAATTGTCCTGATGACAAGAAGTGGTTCTTTGGTCTGTTATTAATTGTTGAATCAGTCGGTTTGGAAGTTGTTTTCTGGATAAGTGACTTGTTGTTCCTAAATGTTGATCCACTTGAAATTTTTTAGTACAGACAATCTGCAAAAAGAGATCTAACTTAGAAAGCAAAATACCCACTTGGTTAATATTTCATAGTAAAATGCAGGTACAATTGAAAAATATTGTAATGTTTACAAAATAATGATAAATAAGCAATATTTTATTTTTAGATATGCATTATTATTTAAGATATGCATTATTATTTTAGATATGCAATATAAAATTCTGTACTAAATATGCAGGCAAGCACTTTATATGCATTTTGCATATAATCCAAGCTCTAGTGATGATATGTCTGTTCTATTTACTGATTTTGTATTGATTAAACAGTAACACTTTAGTATAGAGCTGATACATGTTAAATATTTGTGTCTCTTGATAAAGTGCTGCAGAAGGGTAAATTGCAGGTTTATTATACATATATTTTATTATGGACTTTTGTATTTTTTGTATATTTTCTAAAAGAACTATTCCAGCAGACCCACATGCAATGAGTCTGTAATATAAATGAGATTCTACAAGTGCATAATATAATATTTTTAAGTGATTAATATGTAAAAATGTTGATAGATTTTTAAATTTATATACTACAAAACGTAGCTTCTTTACTACCTAATTCACATGTACGTCCCATTTTAAATGACAGTCAATGTATACACCTAGATACTTTATGTTATTGACAGATTGAATATCTATTTAATGTTTCTGATCTATTTTAATTTTTAGTTTTTTATAGGTTGGTAAGTTATTACTGTAAGATGAGAATGGTACGTAAAATGTTTTATTATAATTTATTGTCAAAGCCTTGTAATGAAAAAAATTGACAATTTTTGGAAAGTCTGCCTCAACGGTATTCTTTAGTGACTCCCAATTTCTTGATTTGTAGAAAACTCTGGTATCGTCGGCAAAACTGACCACTTCACCTGCAACGTGTTGTTCAAATAAGTCATAGTAGTGGACCCAGTACTGTTCTTTGAGGAACACCACACGTTATAATCTTAGGATAACTTAAGGTACCGTTAATATTGACTAATTGTGTTCCGTTATGAAGATAGCTCTTCATTAAATTGTAGACTACGCCCCTGAAACCAATATTTTCTACTGTTTCTAAAAGTTGTTGTTGGTTAACAGTATCGAATGCTTTTCCGAGATCAAAAAAGATGCAAAGTGACGGTTGTTTTTGGTCTATTGAATTATTGATTATTTTTGTCAATCTCGCAATAGCATCTGAAGTTGAGGTGTTTTCCCGAAACCTATACTGTTTGTTTGACATAACTTCATATTTATTTAAGAATGATAACATTCTCTTTTTCATTATATTTTCAAAAAATTTTCCTATACTGGAAATTATTGAGATCGGTCGGTAATTAATTACTTCGAGCTTATCTCCTTTTTTATTTATAAATGGGGATTATCATAGATTCTTTTAGAGGATCTGGAAATTTCCCATCACTAAAGGAAGGTCAATACTGGTGATATTTCATTGTTTATTTCCTTGATTATTACCAGGTTTTGTATTATTTATAAGGCTGTTTATCGTTTCTGAGACTTCCTTACTGTTTGTATTTGATAAATAAATACTTTTATTATTTTGTTTTATTCTAATGTTTAAGTTCGTCGGTGTAGATATTTTACTAGTCATTTTTCCCCAAATGTTGTATAGTGTTCACAAAATGTATTTGATATTAGCTTAAGATTGTCAGTGACCGTCCCTTGGATAGTTTTAACATTTGACATTTCTTTAATACATTTCCAAAGATTTTTGTTTACGTTTTTATCACGTTTATCAATTTTCACGTTTAGCTGATTTTATTATAGTGTTTAAATCATTTCTATCATTTTTAAAGTTGAACTTATTTTGTTCCATATAATTAATTTTTATTATTTTGTATAGTCTGTTTTTGTCTTTAATTGATTGTACAAGTCCAGAAGTGATCCATGATTTAACTTTTATTTCATTTCTTTTTAATTTTACCTGTTTAATACAACTTTCAATATAAAATTTTAATTTATTTTTGAACAAAGAAGTGCTTGTATTAATGACTTTTGAATTATAGACGTCCACCCAAGTTTTAAAATTATTTTTTTCTATTTAGTTCCGTTTTATTTAAAATTTGTGTAAAGTTCTCTACAGAGTTTTTGTAATGTTTAGTTATAAATAAAGTATTTAGTATAGAAAAGTGATCTGTCATATTGATTTCAATTATTGCTGGAATATTTGGTTTTTATAAAAATATGATCTAAACATGATTTTTCGTTTCCTACGACCCTTGTTTATTTATCTCTGTAAATTATAAATCCTTCTTCGCTGAGTGTATTTAAGTATTCTTGTACATTTTTATTGTCTTTATTTAAAATATCAAAATTTGTTATAATGCTTTTGCTGTTTTTTAAGTATGTCGATAAGTTACCTATGAATATTTTTTCATTAGAAGGACAAGGTCTATATATACCATTAATTAACAAACTTTTATTGTGGATCTTCACAATTATTTCAACAATATTTATTTCATGTAATTTGACGATATTAAAAACAGTATCGTAATTTTCTTTCGCAAATTAGACTACGCCATCACATTGGTTAAAGACACCTTCATTATAATAGTATATTATTTAACGAGCGGTAATGAAATGATGAATTACAGCACTCGCCTGCGGCTCGTGCTGCAAACTTCATCTGCGTGTGTTATGACCATTACCGCAAGTTGAATACTATGTTTTATCTACGACTATAACAATAAATAAATATATATTACAATGAATTAATCATTATAAGGTATTAAAATAAAAATACAATCAAGAAGACATAATAATATTCAATAAAGTAAATAAGAAAAAATCTGTTATTTTATGATTGCACCCTGTATATGGGTTTTAAACAATTCACATATAATGAACCATTTTAAAAAAACAAATCACTTTGAACATTATAAAACATTTAAAGCATAAAAAGTTAAACAAAACATTAATTAAATTAAATTTAATTAAATTTGAATTAAAATTGAAACGGAAAACATCTTCATTCAAAGGAATCATGACAGACTATCTCACTGGGAGAAATTTATGAGTTGAAACTGTGATAATTTGTTAGTTTGAATATATTTCTCACAGCATATATGCGAATAAATTTTTCAAATTATAAAAATCTAACTAATTTCTGGTGGCAGGGGATAAAATAGTAGTGATATTATGCTTTTATAGCACCATAAGACATAGTGGAATATTTTGGGGTCCATTTTGTCACATTTGATATCATTGAAAATGTACCATTAATTAGCAGTAGAATTTTATATTAAATTGTCTTTTAGCATATAGGAAGTGAATCTTAATTCGTAAGGGGAATTTGTGAACATTTTAATAACAATAAAGGGCACTATATCTAGGAGGCTATCAAATAGAATAGGGAGATTTAACTAACTTGAATCCACTCCAAATCCTACTCTTCCTAGAGAAAATAGGATTGGAAGGGTCGTTATAGGCATTGAGACATTTCCTTGCTGCATTAGCGACAGAAGGGGACACGATAGATATTTTAGGTCGCAGTTTATTAACACCCCCTTCCCAACATAACATAACATTCATTGAATAACGGAAAATGGATGTCCATTTTCCGTTTATCCAAGTTCATGGACATCCAGGATATTATTTGGACAAAATATGGACGTCCAATGGATGTCATGTGGTGTCTGGGTATAGGTGCTGCC